CTATTGCTTTAGCGATTGGGTGATTTGACCTGATGAAAAAGTTCTACGAATAATTGAATTTTGTAGTTAGTGACAACGCAGCGTACACACATATACTATTCGTAGGCAATGTCTACAGCTGTACATTGAATATTTAGCTGCTAAAAAGCAAGAAATCTTACTGGGATTATGATTACTGTTAGCGCTATTCTCAACTTCTGCTGTCATTTTTGGTTCTCACCTGGTAATGCCAGTCAAATAATATCGCTGACTGGGATTCGTGAAGGTTGGCAATATTTTCAGCCTTCACTTGATCCTGTTTACTTGTCGCTCAGCAGAACTTCTACGTTGCTATCACTTCGGTCGCCACGACTACCTTCAAAAAAACCACCAAAATTGACTACGTAATATTTCCTCTTAATAAACGTCGCGCTGCGTTAGCCACGTTAACTAGAAAACACACTGTGTATGATATGTCACTGATCGCTATATTAACAGCAGATGTTAACAACAGAGGCCAAGAATATGGCTTTCATTTGAGACCGGTATCAGTTCTACTTGACCAACCGGGTTCCAACAGCAGGAACTATCGGGAGCAAATATAGTTGTCGAGTCCGAGTTACTTCATGAAGCCGGAAAGCCAAATCCCCAAAAGACTATTGCCGTCACGAGTTCCAGCTGAATTGAGGTTTATTTTTTATCTGCAACATTTTCCATTGTTATTAACGTGGCTATTACATTTCTTAGCATTTCGTCGTCGTGTTCCAATTCCCCTAAGTTTGTCACTGCAACGGGTCGAAGTTCGCTGTTTTACCAGTCTACATTTACATTAATTAATCAGCTGTTCACTAGCTCGCCAATTTTCATAATAGTACTCACTTTTAAGCACCGTTAATTTCTAGCGTTCGCAAATAAGCACGCACGCAGACAAGGACACCTGTCTTATAAGTAAACAAACATCGAGAAACAGTTCTGATTCGCTAGCATATGCACTGATGATCATACGTAGAACGTAAGGCTCTTTCTTTCTTTCTCTACGGCCTTTGTTGAGTTGCGCCTCGATGCACCTCAAGGTCTCTCTATAGGTCCGGTTTTCCTCAGCTGGACCATTCAGTTTGTTGAAGTTTCACCGTTCAGCAGGAGCTGTCCAGAGATATCAGCTACGGCCGATGCGTGTCTACTGCTTCCAGATTCCGCGCCACAGCAAGCTATACACCATAGCACCCTCTTCTTCCATCCACTGCTGGTTTTTTTTTGTTAGGAGTGCGTTCACACACGAAGCACGGTTCAATGTCTCACTTATCAAGCACACTGCATGGATCCTAAATACGATGAACACTTGCCGGCCGAACCACGTGCCGCAGGACATCTTCTCAAGGAAGGAAGATTTTTCATCTGTTTTAAGAGAAGACAGCTCGCCCCCAACGAAATAACTTGGTGACCTCACTAAATTCACGTTCATTACGTAATACGGCGAATGTAAGGAACCGGTTCGGCTGAGCGGATCTGTGAGAAGGCCTTTTGAAGGCTATCGAACATACGATAAAGCACTAGGCGCAAACAAATCACGGCAACAGCAGTGGTTGTGCTTTACGATAAAGTCTTGTTAAGATATATACGCAATTTATCAGCCTGCTACATTGCCGTTGTTGGACCTTGGAGGCATCGAAGTCAGCCGATCCACCGAACGGTTTTCCACCGTTACCTATTTTCAACTGTCGACAGCGCGCGAAACTGCCATTGGAAGTTTGCGTGGCGCCATTTTACTCCCGTAGTTGTTCCTATCCCTACGAGTGGTTGGACGAAGATGGTGATCGTTTTAGCAAGCAGCTGCGTTGTGAGGCATTGCTTTTTTTTGGGTAAGGGTATGGCGAAAGTGTCCGCGGACACAAATGATACAGCGTCGCCGCGAACCGTGCAAGGGGGCGAGGAGACGGGAGCCAGCCACGTAAAGTTTACAGTGTGGTAGTATAACATATCTGCAGTATGGTGGTCATAGTGAACCCTTTGTAATAAAACTCATTAGCGCCGTCTAGCCCGATGCTTGTGGGATTATAGGGTGTTGTACTGATGTCCGTTCATTCGATCGTAAGGTTAGAGTACGACCTGGTTTCGGCAGGAAGGCTCATCGTCGAAAGTTGCGTCTAGGAGAAAATTATGCTGTAAGACGCTGCTAAATGTAGTATTATAATTAAACTGTATAGTAAAAACAAGTTGTGAGATTTACGTGCGTGCTTGCCAGGTGCGAGTGATCGTAATTCGTCAGTATGCAATAGTCACAACGTCTATTTTGTCGTGTTACATAGAAAAGATTGCAGCGGTTTCATTTGTTCCTTTATGTTATGGTCACAAACAGAACTTAGCTCGCTATCTACGAAGCATTTGCTCAGCCCAACTAACAGATTGGCTAAATGAGTGTCTTTGAATTGCCTGTATAAAGCAATTTAACGAAAACTTTAAAGAAACAATAATTTTTCCGTCCTTTAAAAGCGAATGGTGGATATTAGCAGAGTCAATTGGTAAAATCCAATGTCTATAGTAGAGACAAGATAGTGCCTTCTGTCGACTTTTCGAATCCATATCTTTTTTCGACACTTTAAACGGCGCCAATTGGGACATTTTTGTAAAAATGAAAAGGCCCTTTAGGCCGTTTCCCATTGTGTCCAGTAGTCGGCGCAGTCATTGATCACCGCGATAAGGTACTCCGGTTCAACGCTATTCTACGGTGCAGGCCATACGTTTTTTTTTGAATTTCTCTTACTTGCTTATGTTCTCTGTTGCACAGAACCCTTCTCAGCGTAGCGTTAGATAATTTGCTTTTATCGTAGATACTACTAGTACGTGAGATCAAACCAACTAATCAATGAACAGACAAGCCCATCGCTTACGATACTTACATATGAAATTGCCTGACGTCTTTATCTACTATATAGTTCGTTAGTATAGTCGTATAGTAACGGTTGTTAGTATAGGAAACCACTGACAAGCTAAGTAACGTGAAAAAATATTCGGCAAAAATTTTTAACAACAATAATAAAATAAAATAAAAAAATAAAGTACATAGACAATACAGTCAAACACGTCATACATATGTTCAAAAATTGTTTTCATGTAAGATTTCACTTCACTCATGTAAGATTTTACTTATCACTCAGATATGCATGCATAATATACGTACACGCACTGAAAAGATATTGCATTCTAAGCCACCTTAGGCATCCGAGTCTGTAGGCCCCGATTTCGGGGACGAAATACTCGTCGCTATGAAGACTCCCGTCTCGATAACGGGTTAGCGGTCTGTACTTTTTTTTGATACAGTTATTTGACTAGGTAACGTAGTTATCTAAAAATCTCCGTAGACTTTAATCTCTTAGTTTACGAGACTTTGCTCCTGAATAACTGAATGTTACATATAGTTAAGCGTAATGAGTGCAGATAAGCCAAAAATGACAAATAAGCCAGCTATTTTCCAGCTAAACTATTGGTTTAGCTTTTTCTTATAAAGCGTTAAGTTTTTTCTCATAAAGCGATCACCTCTGAGTTTTCTTTTAATTTTTTTTCAGCGATTTTTACATGCCACATTATCAACAACTATGGTTTACCTTTTTGCTGTTAGACTCCATATGGTTAGCAAACATTTATGAAATTTTGAATCGATTTAATCACTTTCAGTGGGCTGATAGACTATGTCGCCTTGTCCATTTCAAACACACGAAGAAGCATCACTACCAGGACGCGGGCAGCGCAATTTCACTTGTGCAGTGCCCCGTATCCCATGATTATTCTCTCGTACTGAGAAAAAAAAAAACGAATTTCGAGGATAAAAGCTCTACCTGTACCATCAGTAACAACTGCAAACCGGAGTCAGTTACCAGCTAAAAGATGAAATCGAATCGAGAGGAATCGATCAATTAGGTGCACGGACACAGTATCCAGCGCCATTTTTTAGCGTACCTACGTAACTTGAAAATTGGGCTGACACCTGTTACCAATGTCCTCACAAAATGCCGTAATAGCAAAATTCCCGCTGCAGCAATTGTTATCAGCGACACGATACATACGCAGCGGGCTAACAGACAACAGCAGCAAAAAGGTTTACCGAACAACGCAGCAAATGAACGCAGCCGCAGCGCGTAACGACAATGGCCATGTAAATCATGCAACGTACCTAGTTAAGACTCAACGGCAATTGCGATCAGTGACGCAGACAGTGGATGGACAGCAGCTTCGATTCACTGAATAAAGATCGCGTGCGTCTTATGCGTGGCTTCTTCTACAATTTTCAAGATAGATTTCGATAACTTCTGCCTCGTTGACTGATGCTACTGCCTGAGGTCGTCCAGTTGATTCAGGTCAGCAAGATCAGCAGCTGTACGGGACGACGCTTACAGTCAGCAAGAAGAATCACAGCCCTAGGGGCATATCGGCACTCGGGCGTTAAAACAGATTAAGATTAGAGACAGAAAAGCTAATCCATTGTGGTACCGTTTATTATGATTATTGGCATGAGGCAAACATGAAGTGAAAATATAGAAAACAAATCGTTACTGCAACTTCGCGATTGTTTTGTGTCGAGCAGACTTCAGTGAAAAGGAGAACTTTCTATTTTTGTTGTAAAATGAATATAGATTGGGTAATGGAGCCGTTTCTAAAGCAAAAGCGTAGAGGATACTGATTCTAACTGCCAGTGGAATAGTAACGAACGTCTTCACGATTTCTCTAAGATTTCAAACCCGTAAAGACTCGCATTGAAACGTTCGGCTGTTTTGTTACGCAAGCTTGTTGTGAACAACATGTTATACTGTATCAAGCAAATTGCTATTAGAGTCCTTTCAGTTTTACGCTACCGGTACTTACGTAGCACCACTATGTAACATTCATACTTGAATTAACAATTTTCGCTGTCTCAGTCAAGTGAATAGCCCTACGAGTCCATCAAATAACATCCATAAACAAAAATATCTGTATTCGTGATTATGATCTTTCAAAGAAATATATAAGTAAATAGGACGCAAACTTACCAGCGAAGTTAGTGATCGTATCTGCTCGGAGCTTGTATCGAGGGATTTGCTCCTCGATAAGACTTACAAGTTCAACTTCGGCGCAGCTGTTGTTGTTGAGCTCTGTAAAACGTATAAAAGCTCACATGAGCCATCCTAGTTTCGCTGGAAAAGAACACTATCTCTAATGTCTGATCTAATAATAACAGTATGTCTAACAGTTACGCCGTCTGGCTAGTGATACTGTTCAACCACCAGAGTGTAAGATCAGCTAGTGCGATATAAATTTTCCCTTTAAGTTCAAAAATATTGGTATCAATAATGATCTTACTAATGAGTCCATCGTTTGTCCCTGACACTGACATATTTCGTTTCCTTTCTATTATCATGTAACTTTTCTTATTTATATATCATTACAATACTTAATCTTTAGAGCGTTTTTGTCGAAACTTTTATTTACGAAATCAAAGTTTGAGTTGTACTTATAGGCCTGATAGTTCAACCGAAAACACAAGCAAGCAAGAGTAGTGACTGTAAAATATTTTGTGCTTTAAGCCTAGAGAAGTTTTTAAAAGTAATTAGAAGTCTTTTTTTCGAGGGTATAGGGCCTGTACACATTGAAAATCGGTCGTTTCCCTATTGTTACTGCTATAATTGGCACATTGCTTTAATGGTAACTCCTTTACAGTAAAATTCAAAATACCCCATCCGCATATCGCACAGCCCTCATTGTTCACTCCTTTTTGACTTCATTTTACTTTATTAGGATTCGTTCTTATTAACTGAACCTCACGCTGACTCCATCTTTGCTTATTTTCAATTATGTAGTCCACCAGTGGTATCGGCTCTGCAATGGACGTCCTCCATGCTGGCCATAGCATAAGCGTGTGATCGACGTTGTCCGCGTCGCTTGTAGCGCACAGTGCGCAGGTTAGGTTTTACGCACTTTTACTATTGTGCAGCGCCCTCTAAAGCGTACCTGTGGCTATATTAGAAAATAGGTAGTACAGCTGTCGTCTCCGTTGAACCACTTGTGCAGTTTCGAAATGAGGAGTTAAGTCGCGATCTTTGCAAAGCCTAGGGCTTGCGTGTTTCATTCCACATCGAATATCCGCACAGTCTCTTTGCGCGGCTTTTCGTTCTTTCTTAGAGTAGAAAGCCGCATCCACTTTTCTACCGCCTTTGGTCAAAGAACTATTCGTCGTTGGGTCCGTGGTCTAACGGTCTCCGCAGCCCTGCACGTTTGCACCTTTATCGCCAGAAATTTACTTGCGGTTTCAGCTTTGTTCTGCTTCGCGTTACCTTGATTATCGTCGGCCCTATCGGAAATAACAATGATACATAACCAAATAGCAATAACTAACTAGACACGATTATTATGATTGTATAGATGTATGAACATACCTGTTATAGTAGCCGCGTCTGAGAAATCGCTCCGAGGATGTGGTGGCACCTGAACGAGGCTTGTGGTTGAGAACCGCTCTGGACTTACTAAAGAAGTAATTGTTTTATTCGTTTGGGTGTATAATCCTCCCGCTGTTACGATGGGCGGTATGGGCCTACCTGGTTGTTTGGTACGGGCGTCTACACCTGCTATATTAGCTTGTTGTTGTTTTGGCTTTTGATTTTGTTGCTGTTCGTGTATACAGTCGTCTTGCTGCTGCCGTAGCTGCTGACGTTGTTGTTTCAGAGACGTACAGGAGATGGTGCCACCATCGCACTCTGGCGGCTCCTCCCTGGCCTTCCTGTGGACGCGCGCAGGAGGAGGCCGCTTGAACCCGCCCCGCGACTCCAGCGTGTTCACAAGAGGCTCCGGCGCCAGAAAGGCGCGTGCCTCGCCTACCGATCGAGTAACTGCAGTATGGTCGTTATCGTCGTGACTGTCGCGAACGACGCCGTTGCTTCCAGTTGACAGGGCCTCGTAGGCCGTCTCTTCACCGAGTAACGTAACGACCCCTTCTATGCTGCCCCCTGGCTGAAGGCAAGTCAGAAATGATGATTCTGACACGCCAGAAGAGGAGCTGCCCCGGATAGATCTATCGGTGGTTTCATCCTGAAATGAGATGAAATTATATAGAAACGTTTCATTTGAATATGCTACATATAGAATTGAGAAACCGTGACATTGCTCCCTAAAGTTCAATAGCAATCACTATTTTTTTTCCAATTTTACGCCCAGTACTTAATTGCTATTTCAAATGTTTCAGAACCAGTCACTATGAATGCATATATCGACATGGCGCGTTATATATTTGCGTCATTCAATAGTAACATTGAAAATTCGATCAGTAGCCGAAATTACGACAAGTGAAGCTCCGATTAAAAATCAATTTTTCCTTAGTCAATGTGCACTTCAGCGGATACATATCTCTGTGTCCTCGTATCTAGTCACCTACATTATACGTATCGACAGGTACGGGCTATGCGCTTTTCCCGTTAGTAAGGCGCTTCTTTTTCTTGCATAAACGATTCATCGTATTTTAAATAAACAGTCCTAAACTCTCTCTAAAGTAATCTAAATCCCTTCATGTCCACGATACAGAAACCCCGTCCATTAACTACGTGAATGCCATTCAAATATCGACACAGCATTAATGGACAAAGATCGTCTGCCACTTACAATGGTCGTCTAGCTAGATTTGTACATCATCAGTCTATTTATTATCCTCTTTGCGGCAGCCCTATGGTTCTTTCCCTTTCAGACGGACAGATTTGCGCATGGCTTGGTAGCACACTTGCTGTTCTATTGGCCGCGTAGTGCAACAAGACGATGCGTTCTTTATCTACAGGTAGAAATTTACTGTCGATATGAGTAATTCTGCCAAAACAGCGACTAGCCATGGGTTGCCAGTAGCAGACGATCACGGTTCGGATGAGAATTTTCGCTGCTCTTCGTGGTGCCATTAGTGAGTAAACCGGTAAGTAGGCCTAAACAGAAAAAAGGAAATGGAGAAGATAGATTTCAACTGCTTGAGAGGGTCATTTTTAATGATATTCATCGAACTCATGGTGGCACTCATCAATGACGAAAGAGCACTGTTTGATACACAGCGACTGGGCGTATTTACGCTGTACCTTAAGGCATAAGTATAGAATTAATGCTAGGCTTATGATAATTGAGGAAGCCAAATCATTCCTTAACAAGCGACCCAAAAATAGCTGGTAAAAATCAATCATGGCGGTTTAAAAGGCACACTGAAATCATATAGCTGTGTATAATACTATTTGAATAACTCTATTAAAATTTTGTAATATATGCCATTGGGAAACATTAGGCTGCCACCATCTAGTTTCTTCCAAATAGAAGCTTGACCGTCCAACCCATTGCGTCGACGGTGTACCAGCCCACTTAAACCTAAAGGATGATTACAAATGAAAATGCGAATATGGACGTTTGTAGGTGCCATAGGCGACGAGGCGCAATATCATGAATAAGGCTTTCTTTAGAAAGAAACGCTCCAATGTGAGCAATATACTAATGCGTTTAAATGTAAAAAACTATCTATATATGTGTGCTAAAGGTCCAAGCCTTACTTTGAGTGACACGTATTTTTTGTGCCCCAAGCTTCCTCTAGGTTTAATAATAGCTAGAAATAATTTGATACTGAAAAACGAAGGGTCTTTTAAATAAGCGGATTACACCATCGGCTGATTTCATTGAACGGCGATCTTCATCTTGTAATTATAGCTTTTAAAAATACGAAAGGGCACAAAAAACATGTCTAAATAATAATGCGCTATTGAAAAAGAGTCGATTTGGTTCTTTCCTTTCTTACTCCTATATCAGAATAATTGTTGAATTGAAACAATGCTATTGTTTATAAAGATTTACTACTTATTGTTTACTTAACATACCTCGTCCTGAAGTCCAATTCCGCTATCTGTAAATACCGAGGAAATGTTGTACCTAAGCAGCACTTTTCGAATATTAGACTCATTCATAGCTGCTGACGACTTAGTGCCATACTTTGTTTGTTCTACAGCCGATAGTAGCAAGCAACCAAGTTCGATATATGTCTGTCCTAAATATTTATGTCCATAATCGAGGCACTTTGCGTCCAGCAACATAAAACTTATGACAAAGTATCTCAGCTCGTTATCAGCAGCAGTAACTTTGTACTAGCCAAACTTTATCCAAGAAATCCAGCGTTCATAAATCATTGGTTCACCTTATCACTTATCCTTATCACTTTAGCTGCTTACGATAAGAGGAAACACTTCCACTATATGATAAACAATACTTGAAGATGCACCGATATTTTCGTTCAATATTCATTTCACATATCCAGAGTTCGCTGACACTTAACAATCACACAGAGCAAATCCACGACCAGCCCTAAGTAAGAAGCGTTCATTATAAGGAACAATGAGGATAATAACGTTCTATAACGGAAGGCCCCTTTATTAATTAAGTCAAATTTCATCAAAGCTCCCTTTTTTGTTCCACACAAATCGAGCTCCTACTGTAGCTCTTGCTGCAGATTTTTCTGCCCTAGTCACACTATCCTAGACACTGCCATCAGCGTCAGATATGCCAGAACAGATTCGCGCTGCTGGGTTAAGTCGGTTTGGGTTGGGCAGTTTTCCAGCGCTATCTTAATCGAGCGCTAAGCATCAAGCACTTGGTACTACAAGTAGCACCATCCAACATTCAACCTTCTTAAAATAAAAAATATTTTAGCCCGGGCTGCCTTCCAGTAGGCCCGGGCGAGGGCATCAGCGCAAGGTTTTTTTTTGTAGAAAGTATACTTCACATAAGAGGTACCCAATTTATAACAACCGTCGTTATTTCTCTAAATTATCTTATCGGTGGATTAACTGGTAAGTGCGCATTCGAGCAGCAAATATTGAGACTTTTATTTAAAGAAAACAAATGAAACGCCACTTGCTTCTATAGATAGATTCATAAATGCTAGGACGAATTATAACCTAAGTAGCTAGATGGGTTAGCTTTCGCGGGAAATGTTCGACCAGATTTTGCGACGAGAGCTAATAGAACCGCTAGGGTGGTAGTTTTATTAGACGGCTATAGGTAGCTGCGTCTGGGCCCTTGTCATACATATATATATATATATGATATGATATCGAAGGTCGGCTTAAGTCACTTAGAGTGTATATTTAAGTCAACTAGGTTAAATGCCACATAAGAAAAAGCTTATTTTTCTTTGGTAACATTTTACCATTAGGTAATGCAGAATGCAAAGTAATTCAATACGTTTAAGCGAAGAAAATTTTTTGCAGAGATAACAACCAACGATTTTGATCATGTTTAGTTCAGTTCGGAGCCAAAGAATAATGAACATAGTTGAACAGTGCCCCCGGTTGCTTTCGTCCTTGCGCGTCAGTTAGTAGGACCAGTGACAAGGACGGAGCGTTGTTTCGAAATGCAGCATATAGAGGGTAAACGTTTTATTGACACTGTGCTACTTACGATCGCCCCGACTAGTGGTTGGTATAACGATCCAAAAAGTTTCCACGTTATACTGGAGTATCCATTCTGGCGTTCTAAAAATCCATAGATAATCAATGATGTTATATTTTTGATTGAATTTTTACAAAATATCACGCATGCATAAAGAAAAGAAATCGGTGCCGTAAAAATAATAGTAGTCACGCTAATCAAAATGCAACGCTCATATCTTGGATATAGCTAAGATCTTGATGTAATGATGACTGTTATCGGCTACCACATTTCATACATGTTCTACAGTAAATTATACAGTCATCGACTACCTTGCAGGAGAAAAGTTTACGTTATCTTCCTGAGATAGTCAATTTATGCAAGCATATATATTACTGGGCATACATTTAGGATAGTATAACATAAAAAAGTATGCTGCTTTTTTTTTGCCACTGACTTGATAATGAAATCATAATATCAGAATAATCAAATATCTACTTCAGTTTTAGGGCACCGTTGATTTAGAGGCCCGTTGGATCTATGCTTAATCGTTGGATCGTCTAACTTAGAAGGAGGTCGCACTATTTCCTGTGTTGTATATTCTCAACCAATACAAATTGTAATCTGTAGCAGGAATTAAGACAGTACGAAGAACTTGTTAATCAAGTTACTTGTGTTAAGCATTACTTGTCGAAGTCGAAGTGCGGTAGTTCATCTATTTTTAAGGCCTTAAAGTTATGTGTTCGAATAAAACTTATTTAAACAAAATAAAAACTATATTGAATTGCAGTGTTAGATGTCCATGAAAAATACAATAAAAGAAGGACGTTTATTCTCGGACCCGACTAGAATAATCGGACTGCATTTACCTATGCTGGGCCAGATTGGGACAAAAGCGTTACCTAAATTAGATAAAGTATTAAATAACTTTTTTCAGTGTTTCAGAAGATGACAACAGCCCAAAGATTGTAAATGAAATTAGCAGACGAAGTGCAGCTACTTTTCATACAACCCGAGTTTAACGACGTCACGGTTCTACTGAAGTCTCGCCCTAATTATTTTATTTGTAACTTAACCAAACGGCGCGAATCCTTTAACCTCTATGAAAACGGAATAGACAGTCGTTCAAGTCTGGGAAAAACATGGTACGATGAAGATATTGTTAAAGGAATTCGCCTTTAGGACCCCGTTACTAGCGTGTCCCGTCTCCTCTGAACGACTTTGTCGATATCATGTCGTCATTCGTACAGCCTCGTCAATCTGAGGTAAAGCCGTTGCTCTGATGTAGCCAAGACCACTGCTAACCTCGAGTAATCAATAGACTGAGACAGGCACACTCGCTCTTCGCGCGCTCGCTAATGGACCTGATCAAACCATAGAGTATCTACAACCCGCGGCAGTTCTGAAGGTTATTTTGAGCCTAGAGACCATCTGCAAACAAGTCATAAATGACGGACAAACCTGACTTGTGACAAACAACGGGTGTGTTTCACATAGAACAGTACCGCCGGTCTTCTACGGAATGAATGCGTCTATACGGAAATGGCAAACCAGTTTAAAAAAAAAAAGCTTTATTTGTTTCATACCCGCGCTGATTCTAGCATTTACTGACATCTGCTAGAACAAGTCCCACTGAGTCAGGCTGTTTCTCCTGTTCCGTCAAATAAGAGAATAAGAACTATGCAAAAAAACATGGACGAATTCTCTGTCGAATGTCGATACCTTCTTAGTGCTTAAAAGCGTACATATTCTCGTGAAAGAATTGTTAAACTGCATCTTACGATATGGGTAAGATCGTGCACACGTTACGACATTAGTCGCCGGATGTTAGGAAAGAATTTTTTGGTAGTAGGGTAGGCCGCTCTTTCTACGAAGCCAAAAGGTACCACAGAATCGAAATGAAGGCTGAGTGGTGATCATAGATATGCGCAGAGTGATATTTATGGCACTTGAATAACAGGTTGATCACGACTACAACCTTATACTTGTGACATCTTCCAGATCATTTTGAAGTAGGCCGAAGAAGCTTTCTATTAATAGCTAAGATTAACCAAAAACAACAATTGTCATTCGGAAATTTCCATCTACTGCACGTACGGGTGAAATTTAATTGCTGTTCTGACATGCGTTTTCAGCAAATAATTCATAGCGATTCAGTACTACACTGTTCAGAAATCGCATGCTCGATTGCATATTGGTTTAGCTACCCGGGACGCAAACCATCTTCAAAAGTTCCAGCGTTTGATTTTGTTTTTTAACTGTAAGTACACGTAGCAACGGCACCATTGCTTTACGGTGTAGGCCGACAAAAACGTCGCCAAATCTACCTGTACCTACGACAGGGATAGTCTCATTGCCTCGTGATGACGCATGAAAACGTATAGGGCAAAATTTAAACTCGAAAAGGACCTATTCACATTTGGCCTATTAGGCAATAAAACGTTAATTATTCTTGTTCACCCGTTGCAGATCGTTCGCTCACGACTACATCGGCCCAGCAGAAGCTGCTCTATATTGGCTTAAATATATTAAGCGAAAGGAGACTTCTATGTAGTAGTTCATGTAATCAGACCATCTAGCTTAGCATATGGCAGAAAGCACAATGAACTAATGTAATTAACAATTGAATCCGTCAACAGTTCATGCTGTGGTTAAACTTGAATTGATCGGACCAATGAAAAAAAATGTCCATTGCATCGTATTAGTCTCGTCATCTTACACAGACGTCGGCACAAACAAAAAAAAACTGCGTCAATCTTCTCACAGCAGCACTATCACGATAAGTAATTTTTTGTGATCATTATTTTTCAATTTCGTTACGCATAAGCGCTTGCCTCTCACAGAGCGTAAAGGCCAATCAAATCTTTCGTTGCTGCAACACTTCAATAAGGAGTAAGCACGAAACCCTACCCATTTGATTTGACTACTCTCTGTTATCTGTACGAATAATTTTCATTGTCAGATCTTCTTGTTATCGATGGGATTCTTACTGATACTGTAGTTTCGTTGTAGGCATGGCATTATTACAATGTCAACATTTCGATAGATAGCACAAGAATGTTTAGAAAGTATAAGCTTCTATATGTTTATTAATTTCTATCATCTCTACTCTGGGGTGGCAAATCTGTTACCGAAACCAATTCGTTTATCAGGTCTGGTTTCTACAGATAGCTCCAGGAACCCCGGTTTGGTCCGCACCTGCCCGCTCCGACCCCCTATGGATAACCGAACTTCGAACCCGCATGTAGGTCGAAAAGTTTTTCTTTCGAAGCTGGAGTCGGAACATGATGCCTATTATGCGCCGCCCCATATATCAGCCATCCAGAAATAACGATGGAAACTGCCTCTACCACCAGTTTCAGGGCACGCAGGACTAGTTAAAGCAAACAATCGTTTATCAGGCCAAAAGGCAATAGCTTCTACCAAAACTATTCTCACGTATAAAGCTGTCCTCATCACAGGAAAACGCATCGCTCAGTGACCTATTCATTGCTTATAACAACAGCACGAGATAGCAATCAATAGTTAGGTGAAATTGTACCCTATAGGAGTTTCGTCCAAAACTATTTAAGTAGTTAATAAGTTTAAAGAGGGTCGGGCGTAGTTGCTGAGATTCTAAGTGGAAAATTTTCGTGTTCGCAAGCTGTAGGTTTAAGATAAATTTTAACTTGCAGTTTTAAGCTTATAGTAAAGCTTTAACTCCTTTGCTAAATGAATTTATTTCCGCAATATTAAAATTACACGGTCAATATAAACCTATTATTTTTACTTGAATGCTTCCCTGCATTACGGCGCTTTCTCCAGTGCTCGGTGGATATCTTTAACTGCGCACAGCGGCACCATCTTACTCTCACATGATCAGATCCAACACGTGGATGGACACGCTGTAGTCTACTGACTCCGATCACATCAGTGTGTAACATCAGTGTAAGAAGAGCTGAGACTAAGAAGCCCTTTTCTCTTGTAGCCTTCTTTCCCTTACCGGAACAAGTGGTAAGCTGGACGTTTATATGTGTCAGGTGAACATGTTAAGATGGATTATAGCTAGACACTTGTATTCATGAAGGTTCATCGAATACAAATATGGCTGCTGAGGCCAAAAGGGGCTAACCTTGTCTACAAGCTACAAACTTGTATTCTTCATTGTACCATATTTCATTTTTTTATAAAAAAAAAAATAAATGCACATTATTATGAATAACGTACATTTATTTTAAAAGCTATTTTTATGGCTAGGTGGTATCGCATAGGGCGCTATCGTTCCGTGTGTTAACTCTGCACTTGTTTTAGCGAACAGCCCTAGGTTCCTTCCACCACGAAAATCACTATTACAATAAACTACAATTTTCGTAAGTCACGTTTCTGACGTAGAGTTTATAAAACTGATCACCAATTGGCTACTGGTCATCTAAAGCATAAAGGAGAGTAAATGGTCAGTACGAACGTGCTAACTAGCTGCTACCCGACGATTTTTCCGATCGAGGCTGAATATAGATATATATTAGACGGAAAAATGCCGGTAACCAACATGTGCTGTCAAAGCGTGCTACCCATGAAGCACCTCGACACAACTCACTATTGAACTCATCAACATGCACATATTTTTAGTGCTGTCTTATGGGTAGATAAACAGCAAGCCATAAAGAAAATTTATGTTTGATATGGGCCACGGTAGGTTACCATTCACTCTAAGTACAGAAAGCATTCAACGACTACTACTGCGAATTGTAAAGATTCTTCTACAAATGATCCTGCATGTCCATCATTTTACTCAATAAAGAAAAGCGGATCATTATTTAGGGATACTCCGATGTATTCGTTCTAATTTGGATACCCTATATAAAGATCTTTAGCAACCAGTCGGATATGATTAATGCGCTCTTCGTAACTCAATTTACTAGCCAATCTACTAGTCGACTTTTGGGGCCGATGGCCCCGTGCAAACCATTAAAAGTGGATTTATTTATGAAGTCGTGGTACTCGCGTACAGGAAATATGGTTTCTATTTTGAGTTTAATTTGCACTAACGGATATGTCAGTGATAGTTCTGCATAGCACATGTGAACGATTTGTCCATTAAGTCAAACTTGCGTCAATTAGAATAACGTCCTTTTCTGCCATTCCACATGTCTGGGATGGTATGACACTGAGTATATATGGCCTATCAGGAACTATCCAGTCTTATGACTAACAAATTATTTACCACTATTTAGTATCTAGTAAAAATACCTTTGGCCTACCGAATCTCGGTGCAATAGTTAGTAATCGTTTTAACTGCAATAACTTTATGAATTCACCTAAATTATCGGATCATCGCTGCTTCAGTGTGAGAGATTTCTGCTAGCAGCATTGGGAAATGTGCTTGTTGTTTTTCCTATTCTTTTACAGACACGTAAAGATCATTTACGCATATGCATAATGTTCCTAGCCATTCTAACTGTTGACCAAGTCATAGATATAGATTCTACGCAGCACAGGTAGGGGACTTCTATTAGGTGTGCCGATAAATTTTCTGCGTGAGATAACTTGTTTTTTACTCCGGATTTATGAAACGCGTCTAAGTTTCATATTTTTATATCCAATATTCACTACCGAATATGAGCTAGGATTTAACAAAAAGGCGTAACATTTCACACACACGGCGGTTAAATCTGGAATTTCTTTCTTCGTATAAATCCTTTTCCATGGGGGTGTATCTCGAACCAGACACGCCTTCTCACTATATCTCTCTTATTCTCCCACAACCGCCGTTCATTAACTCTCTTTTATAGCAATTCACAGAAAGTCATTCATCGTACTCTTCCAGTAATGAGGGGCAGAACTGGAACATTTCATTACCACTCTCATAAGCAGCCTTTTTTGTGAAGCTGAATACCATCTATAAATGGTAAAAGTGTATAGAAGACATACCGTCAATGTGCACAGAAAATCGTTCTCAGAAATGTTATGTGACGATTTTAATTTTGTAAAAACTTCGATTGAGGCTGCAGCTATTTTTCGATCCGCATTCTATTACGTGTTGTGGTCTTTGCGACATTTCGACATATTGGATCTTGAAATGGGGTTTCTAACGGAAATGTTAAGGCTTGGCCCAAAGGTGTCAGTTTTGATGTGTTCGTTGTCGCCGTTGGTTCTGAAAATCGAAGCATATTCCCCGTATTCTTCTCTGCTTAATTTTCCCGATTGTACTTTGCTACATATCGCCTTTGGAACTGCGACCTTTGGGAACACGGGAACTAAGGGTGCTATGATAAGATCATTGATCAATAATACGTCCCTAAACTTTAAAGAATCTACGTAACCTCTCTACGTAAATGATGAGGCAGACGGATAACAAACATTATGTACACAACTCGTAAAGACCACGTCGCCTTGTTGCCAATCATGTTTCGACCATCTAGACATTGTTATTTTGAGAAATACCTGTCTTATGCAGTTGTTGCTTCCGTTGACTTCGGTCTTTCTTGCCAATCAAAATCTCTTTATTCGTTTCGTTATTTTAATTCGACTGAGGGTTAACACAGATTACTCATTTACAGAAATATTTCGTGTATAGTATCGTTTCATAGTGCCATTTAATGCAATTGAGGCTGTAGGCCAATCATTTAGAGTAGTGTCAGATGCGCTGTGAGTTAGATTTTTACTACATTTCTTTCATTGTAATCATTGCCGTTCCGTTTATTCGACCCGCCCAACATCTTACAGATCGATGCAAAAAAGCTGGTAAGAATACGATGACCTGAATCAACCTAAAGGCAAATTGTGCGATGTAAATGCCTTGCATAGGCAGCAGATTTCGATCATTTCTAAAAAAATAAGCAAAACAATAAGCACATGTACATTGGTTCGTTTAATAATGTTTAATTTTCGATAGTGTACGTTGTCCTGCACGTTTGCTTTCGCTGGCATAAAGTAATGACTTCAATTTACAACTTATGCCAAAAGTTCCAAATTTTCGCCAAAAGGTAGACGAGTTACTTCTCGCTGTGTTGACTATCGAACACACCGCCTAAGTAAGATTAGCATCGGCTGCTTTACTGCTTGCTGATATATGAGAGCCACAAAAAGCCACTAATTTACTAACTGGTAAAGATAATTAAACATGCCTTGCAAAATGCGCGGCCAATCATGTAGTATAGCCACGGTTTAATTAGCGAACCCACATTCAAGTTTTGGGCTCGCAATTGGAATATGTCTATCGTGTCATCGGGTATAGTGACTCCCTGAAAGGGATTACCGTTACCGTTACAGCCCAAGACAACCAACAAAGCTAGCCACTATAAGATAGAGTTTCGCATATAAAATACGTTGTTAGAAGAACCACTGGTAGATAGGGTGCGATTTGTGCATGGAAGGAAAAAAGGGTATGATATTTACCATAATATTCTCAAAACGTATAAGCCTTTTTTGTACCCAAGTCTACTGTAACGTTCTGTTACGTATCATTCATTTCTACTATGCTGAAACTGTACTACAAATATCGTATGTGCATTAAATTGCAAAAAAAATATTGCAAGCCCTTCAAACATATATACATCCTTAAACTTCAAAATACGATTCAAGTAATTGGGTCACTTCGGCCATTATTTGTCTATATAACTACGATGTTCGTGATTTCACTGCGTCGATTTTCTTTCAGCTAACTGAGCTTATTACTTCCATTGCTATTGCTGCGAGATAGAAAAGGCAGATACGCTGTGATATACAAATCTAATCATGGAATATAGGTTCGGCTAAATTTAGTCGATCAGGAGACCACCTAGTGACCGCATAACAAACGGCCTCATTATATGCGTCAAACGTGCGTGACAAGATTGAGAAGCTACGGGTGTTATTTACCCAATATTATATCCAATGCAATAATCGTTAAGGTAAAATATAACAGAACAACGGCCTATTTACAGAGAAGGACTTAATACTGTGTAATGTATATATGGCAGTAGTAGGTGGCCATATGATATACATAAGCCGCTCTGAATTCTAAAGACTGGTCCCAAAAGCGAGAGTTTATGTCGATACTATTCCATTGTTTTCTATTATCTTCTAGCTTCTAGTATCGTACGATGGTTTTTGCTTTTATTGTTGTTAATATCGTGATTTATATGTGCAACGTGTCATCGTCTTGCGCCGTCCACCGAATCTAGCAAAAGTCGGGCCGGTTGATACATGTCACTGTTATAGGAAAACGGCTTGCTCGCTATAATAACATAATATCCTGTCTTACGTGCAAAGACGGGCGATCACATAGACCAATAAGCTTACCCTATGAAATATTTTAGGTAACAATAGCGAGCACAACAAATACAGCTTGATAGAAATATGGAAAAAAATTCTGCTGTGGCATCTAGATAAAAATATAACAGGAAAGATGGCGAAGCAAATAAGGCCTATGCATATCGACATGTAAATTCAGCCTAGTTACTTCTACTTATTTTAGAAAAAGACTTTTTTTAAACGAAGCCTGGGTCAAACCTTACAATAAGGGAAAGGCTACTAATTTAGTTAAAGACATAACGGCAAATCAAAACAAGCCTAAAGTGGGCAGAAAGCAACAAAGCAAATTGGCAATTTGTTGTCGAGTAGAAACGTTCGCTTTTGTCAGGGAAGACTGCAATGGTAAGATGTAAATATAGCACCGAATCAACTTTCGTTCCAACTGGACGCGACCTGATTGTTAAGGATGAAAGGATTGAAGATGCACCTCGAAATTCGGAAACGACACGGCAATCCTGTCGACTACTAGAAGCTACTACTATAACAAATATCGTCCCGCGTGATTTTCATATTTAGTATTGAACGAACGTATTACAATGCATATTTTTCTTTATTAACACAAATTGTACGGTACACGACACATGATTATTTATTCTTAGACCAGACAAATCTCTGAGGTGACGCTTCCGTAGTAGCTGATCATGTAATACTTACGGATAATTACTCTTCTAGATCAAGGCCTGTTCATTTACGACACTCGGTAAATAGAAATTAAGTGGCCGAAGTGGTTAAGCATACAAACTAAATGGATACGCTGTTGGAGTCAATTCGACGACCTAACTTAGATTAAATGAATTCACGCTCATAAACCTACGGACGACTGTCTGTGGTGGTGCCTCATGTCCCTACGATTTGACCTGGCGACTTTTAGGTGGCCGATTCTCTATTACTATCCAGACCTTGACGTCAAAGGCCATCGCTCTTTGCGTTTAATCTCTGGCCATTAATACGTAGCCGCCTAATAACTCACTGTGATAGGCGCCTCTAAAACTCCTTGATAAAAGTTGTCTAGGCCACAAGGTAGGTAGGTAATTGAGTTTTTAATTATATCCTTTCTCAAAATGAGGAATGTAAATGTACAGAAAATAGACTTACTGAAGACATTAAAAATAATCGTTGTTAGCCATACAATGATAATTGAAAAATTAAGTAATACTGATTTGAGTAGGCTGCTCATAAGTATTACTAACTACCTCTTATGGCCAGATATAGGTAACGAATTTTCGGCAAGTTTCTATGGTCAGGCACCCCACAATAATTATAACAGCCCAGTTTAAATATTCCATCGCATACATCTTTCGAATCTCATCACGACGAGCAGTTAATCAGTCTGCTTATATAGCCTTTGTTGTCGTTTCGTAACAGATCTTAAAATAGTCACGAAGGCATTAGCCACTAATATACTATCTAAGAAACGTACTAAATATGAGGAATAAGTTAATCGAATGTAGTACTTTTTACGAGATAATCATTGTTTGTATGGACGTATTTTCCAGCTCCTGCTAAACGTAGAACCGCTGTTATTAACAGTCTCAAAAACGTAACGCAAAAGGCAAAGTATCTCCTGCCAGATTCTTACCGTCTATGCCCCATATGCCACTCGTCTTCCTGTTTCTCCACCCGTTTCATACGCTCCAACCTTCCTGCCAGCTCGATGAAAATATGCTACCCTTAACTAAATCCGGACTTTAAAAGGCTATATTCAGCTATGTTTCAAGGTCGCTCCTAGCGTCACGGTCAAGGTCCTCTCCTGAAGCGCCGCGGAAGTAGCGCGCGCTCTTTCCCTAAGCTATATTGCAGATATTTTGTCGTTTCGGATGTCTGGAACATCAATGAAAAAGGCAAATCTTCCTATGGCAAGGCGAATCTCCGGAACCGTTCCGGCCCTCAATAGCAAGGCGCGCTTCCATTTGTCGCTAACTTTGCTAAACGTGGACTACACTGCCGAAAAGCGATCCCGAAATTCTCTGCGCCGCAGTTTCTGGGTTGTACACTTTTTTACCAGAGCTGTTCAGCTATCTTGATAAAAGCGTACATCCTAAAGTTACTGCGCAAATAAATCAACTTAAATCAAGATTTTATCGTGCACGAGCAAATGCAACAAGACCGTGGAAAGAGGGCCTGCGTAACACATAGTGGAAAGGTCTGATATGCTTATTGTGTGTCGTTCCCTATATACAGTAATTACATTCAATTTGAACATATATTAGCCTTGAGAGTCGCAGTTATTGACGTCTTTAGTGAAAACGTTTTTCTACATTTTATTCTAATGCTTATATCCTGATTCTAAATGTTTAATTACAAATTGAACGAAAATAAAAAAATCATATCGATTTCTATTTAATTACAGCTGTTACAAAGACCATCCTTTTTCACAGGAGGCGAAAGAAAGGGTAACGGAGCTTTGGACTAATGCTGATAGGAAACAGTGGTCAGGAAGAGTGGAGGCGAGGTTGCTACAAAGAGAGTGGATCCTGGCAAAGAGACGAAATAGCCTTGCGACTCTGGCAAAGGTCCTTGATCCAGTTATGTTTGTGTCCTCCTTTCCCTTGAGCAACGAGTCCCATAGTAGAAAAGGTCATGTTGAAACTAGAAACAGGGAGCTGCTTAGGCAGTGCCGTCTAACGGTGCCAAGAAAAGCATAACGAGCATATATCAGTGAGCTGTAGTTAAATAGAAATCGATGATTTTTTCGATTTCCATATTAATAATTAAATAATTAGAATCCTATAATACCTATGACTTTCAAGGCTAATATATGTTCATATTTAAATTACTGTATACATTGAACGACACACAATAAGCATATCTGACCTTTCCTCTATCGGCGTGTTATGTAGGCCCTTTTTCCAAGGTCTTGTTGCACTTGCTCGTG